GATGCCCGGCTCACGTCCCGTCCCCGTCCCCGTCCCCTTCCCCGTCCTCCTGCCCGCAGCATCTTCTGCCACAAGTGCGAGGGGCTGTGCCCCAAGGAGTGCAAGGTGGGCACCAAGACCATCGACTCAACGCGAGCGGCGCAGGAGCTGGGGGGCTGCACCCTCGTCGAGGGCAACCTCATCCTCAACATCCGCCGGGGCTGTGAGTGCCGGATCCCATCCCTCGCAACCCGCCCCGGGTGGGAGAGCTGCTGCGGGGGGCGGGAGGGGGAAGGAGAGGGGTCGTTTCCCTTCTAGGATGAGTTAATTGGGGGGGTGGCCCCCCTCCCCATGCTGACACCCACGGGTCATCCCCAGATAACCTGGCCTCGGAGTTGCAGAGCAGCCTGGGGCTCATCGAGACCATCACGGGCTTCTTGAAGATCAAGCACTCCTTCGCCCTCGTCTCCTTGTCCTTCTTCAAGAACCTCAAGCTGATCCGCGGCGACTCCATGGTGGACGGGTGAGGATGAGGTGTGGGTGGGACACACACACACACACGGTTTTGGGGTTGCCCATGCCCACCACCTCCGTCCACGTCTCCTCCTCCAGGAATTACACCCTGTACGTCCTGGACAACCAGAACCTACAGCAGCTCTGGGACTGGAACCACCACGTCCTCTCCATCCCCGTGGGCAAGATGTACTTCGCCTTCAACCCCAAGCTGTGCCTGGCCGAGATCTACCGCATGGAGGAGGTGACGGGCACCAAGGGGCGGCAGAACAAGGCCGAGATCAACCCCCGCACCAACGGGGACCGGGCGTCCTGTGAGTACGGGGACAGGGACACCGGACGGTGCCACGACCCCCTGCCCGAACCCTGCCACCCCTCCCCAGGCAAGACCCAGACCCTGCGCTTCATCTCCAACGTCACCGAGTCCGACCGCATCTTCCTCAAGTGGGAGCGGTACCGACCCCCCGAGTACCGGGACCTCCTCAGCTTCATCGTCTACTACAAGGAGTCGTAAGTGGTGCCCGTCCCCAACTCGTCCCCATCGCGGAGGGCTTGGGGACCCCAGCCCGTGGTGTCCTTGTGTGCTGGTGGGCTGCTGGACCTTGGGGGGGTGGTCGTGTGGCCGGGAGGGGGTCCCGGGACCCTCCCCGATGCCCAGTGTGGGGCAGACCCTTCCAGAACGTGTCGGAGTACGTGGGGCAGGACGCCTGCGGGGCGCAGAGCTGGAACGTGCTGGACGTGGAGCTGCCGCTCAGCAGCGAGCAGGCACCGGGGGTGACCCTCCTCAACCTCCGCCCCTGGACCCAATACGCCATCTTCGTCCGCGCCATCACCCTCACCACCGCCGAGGAAGGCCGCAACTACGGGGCGCAGAGCGAGGTGGTCTACATCCGCACCATGCCGGCGGGTAAGGGGCTGGCGAGGCAGCTGGGGATGCTCGTGGTGGCTTCCCAAAGACAGACTGACACCTTTGTGCCCGCCCAGCCCCGACGGTGCCCCGGGACGTCATCCCCATGT